CCCAGCCCAGATTTCTCTCTCTCTCTCTCTCTCTCTCTCTTTCTCTCTCTCTCTCTCTCTCTAGTGCTGGAAGGTGCTATGTAAGGTTCTGGGGGAGAAAAGACATCAACATTCTTATTCAGTGCTAGACCTTGCATGCTACAATACTGATCTGTCAGACTAGATATGCCCTGGTGCAAGAGTGACAGACTGTTATAGGGGTATGCAACAGTAACTGCTCTTTTTCTTCTTTTTCCTTCCTTCCTTCCTTCCTTCCTTCCTTCCTTCCTTCCTTCCTTCCTCTCTCCCTCCCTCCCTCCCTTCCTTTCTCTATCTTCCAACAGGTGGTTAGTTGGACAACAGAATGAGCAGGACGCTGTGTCAGTTCTAAGGGGGAAACAACTGATTTCCAAGCCACTGGGAGCGTCCGCAGGAGACCACAGCAAATCCACCAGAGCTTTAGTGGCTTTAATTCTGTCCCTCAGCAGAGACTCCCAGACACACCCCTGCCAAGCTGTAAAATTGGCAAGTGCTGCTCCGCTATGCAAAGCTCTTAGAGAAGACAGAAGCACCCTGTAAAATCCATAAACCAAGAGACAGCAACCAGAAGTGTCACACTGCCGTCTCTCTTCTGGAAAATATATTTGCCAAGTGCCTCCTTTGCAAATGTCTACACCAGGAAGACGTGTATATAATAAAAAAGGGTCCAGGGGATGAGAAGCATGGTGGAGTCTGGGGGGTACTTTGAGCCCCCTATATTGACCAGTCTCCCCCGCCCCGACTCCTGCTGTTCCACCTCAGCTGGTGGTCGCTGTGCAAAACTGTGGCTGTAATGCCTCCAAAAGAAGCCCAAACCCTAGATTTTTATGTGATATTGCCTGGTTTTAAGCTCTTACCAACTACTTCTAATATTTCAGAGCTCTGGCTGGGGAGGGGAGAAAATAATGTGTGTTGTTTTTAACTAGATTTGGCAACTTAACTAACAATCCTGGCCTCTGATAGCCAGGCTCATAGGCAGCATGGACATGTGTGAAGACCAAGGCTTTCACCTCATTGTTCTTTTAAAATTGAATTATTCACACACACCATGAAGAAGGAAGGGAATGAGTTTGGATACAATGCAACTTTCTATCACTTACAAATCAGGCGACAGATTCAAAGCCTGAGGTTTTAAAGCACCCATATAATCTGCCTTGTGAGGTTAAGGGAAGGAGACACTCAAATCCCCATCCTGGAATGCCTGTGGCATTTGGGGAACAGGGAGACGGGCACTTATGATGCCTGTGTATATGGGAACATTAGGACCAATATCAGTTACTGTAAAGCCCCAACTGCCCCTCTGATCTGTGTGGGAACCACTTGTCAGATTAAGACTTTCTTATGAAGAATTTTTCCCATTCTGTAGGCTGCCTCGTCACTCGAATGATGGTGTCTTTGGCTGTACAGAAGCTTTTTAGTTTCGTGAGGTCCCATTTGTCAACTGTTGGTCTTAATGCCTGAGCTACTGGAGTCCTGTTCAGAAAGTCCTTTCCTGGCCCTCTAAGTTCCAGTGCATTCCGTACTTTCTCCTCTGTGAGATTCAGGGATCAGGTCTTATGTTGAGGTCCTTGATCCATTTGGAGTCAAGGTTTGTACAGGGTGAGAAATAGGAATCTAGTTTCTTTCTTTTTCAGGTAGCTGTCCAGTTTGACCAGCATTTGTTGAACATGCTGTCTTTTCTCCATTGTGCATTTCTGGCCTCTTCCTGAAAAATTAGGTGACCATAGATGCATGGACTTATATCCAGGCGTTCAGTTCTAGTCCATTCATCAATGTGTCTGTTTCTGTGCTAATTCCGTCCTGTTTTTATCACACTACAGTGTAACTTAAGATCAGGCATGATGATACTTCCTGAAGTTCTTTTACTATTCAAGATTGTTTGGGCTATCTTGTTTTTGTGTGTGTTTACATAGAAAATTTAAGGTTATTTTTTCAATTGCGTTGGAATTTTGATGAGGATTGCGTTGAATCTGTAGATTGCATTTGGTAGGATGGCCATTTTCACAATATTGATCCTGCTGATCCACAAGCATGGGAGGTCTTTCCATCTCTCACCCCTCATTAGAGAAGCTTCTTAACAGCAAAAGGCAATTAACAGAGACCCACAACTGGTCAACGTGTAGAGAGTAAGAGACGACAGAGTGCTCAGCCCTAATTGGGACATCTACATCACTCCCCCCCACCCCCCATCCTGGTCTCAGAGACGACAGAGTGCTCAGCCCTAATTGGGACATCTACATCACTCCCCCCCACCCCCCACCCCGGTCTCAGGGATCTTTGAGGAAGAGGGAGTGAGAGCCGGATACGGTAGTGGGTGACTACAAGGGAACTGTTTTCTGGAGACCAGGGCAGATGCACTTATAAACTCAGTAATTGTGATAGCATGCACAAGACCTACTTCAAGTCAGATGAAATCCCAGTGTGGCAGGCGGGGGGGGAGTGGGCACAAAGTCCCACCCCCAGCTGAAGAGCTATTGGCATTTGATAGTTGTTAGGAGAGGGAGAGTTGGTTTTCTTAAAGGGTGTGGCCCCCTGGTAGGTCAGCCACAGTCCAGGGCTGGTTCCATACCCAAGAGTATTTGGGCAATACAAAGAATAAACTCAGGGGAAAAAGAACAGGAAGTTGGGTGGTTAAGGAGGTGAGGGTAGATCTGGGAGGAGATTGGGGAGGGGGAAATATGAGATGGAGGCCAGCCTGAGCTACATAGTGAGTTCCAGGACAGCTAGGGCTACAGGGAGACTCTGTCTCAAAAATAAAGAATTTAACATAAAGCCCTTTCAGGCTGGGGAGATGCTCAGTGGGTAAAGTGGAGTGCACAAGCTCAATGAGGACCTGAGTTCAGATCCCAGCACCCAAGTAAAAAGCTGGGCACAGTGGCGTATACTTGTAGCCCCAGTGCTGGGGAAGGAGACAGACAGGAGGATCTTGGGGCTTTGTGGCTCAGTCAGCCTCACTGAAACAGCCAGCTCTCAGTTCAGAGAAGGATCCTGTCTCAAAAGAAATGGAGGAAAAATGATTGAAGGAAGACATTCCGATGTCAACCTGTGGCCTCTACATGCACCTGTGTGGGTCGGTGTACCCAGGCACACATGTACACACCCATACATGTGCTGCGTGTGTTAACTGGCAGCCTCATTTCCTAGCTGCAGTGGGTAGGAGTTGCTATGGCTATGGTGCCAGGGTTTGATGTTTTCAGTAAAAAGTGAGAAAGATGTAAGGAGCCTTGTGTCACCCCCTCCCACCCCCTCACTC